GTGGAACAGAAGTTGCCTCCAGAAGTTGTGAATGCCCCAACACTGGAAGTCTTTAAGATGATGTTGGATTGCCATTTGTCTGAAATGGTATAGGGTTTCCTGCCTAGGCAGGGGGTTGGACTAGAAGATCTCCAAGGTCCCTTCCAACTTTGTTATTGTATTGTATTGTATTGTATTGTATTGTATTGTATTGTATTGTATTGTATTGTATTGTATTATTGTATGTTCCAATTACCAAGTGCACTTGAGAAAGAGAAAGAAAAAGAGTTTCAGGTTAATAACATTTTACTGTGCTGCATTTTTTTAACTGGTTGAGTTCTTACATCATGCTAAGCCATAAACCTTATAAACCATAATGGTTGATTGGTTTGATTCTGGCTTAACTCATTGTGAACCAAGCCCATGATTTGATTATTTAGCCAATAATATATCATAGGTTCTCTAGATTTACTCAAGCTAGCACTGTGCTCTGGTAGATTAATCTCTATCCAGTAGGATAAAAAGCCCTGGAAAAAAATATTGAAGTGCTTTTGATTGCCTAACAGAGGAGGGGAAAGATCAATCATACAGAGGTTTTTCTTCCATTTTGCCCCACTGACCCCATCTGGTCTGACAGAGAATTGGATTAAATCAGTGAAGAGAATAAACGTTTTGTTATAACTGGGCCTGACATCAATCATTCTATCATAAATGTCATTGCAGATGTGGAAATAATAATTGAAAAAAATGACTTTTTATAGGTCTTCTGTGGAATGTTACAAATCTCCAAATTGCCATTATTGTTGGCCTAGAAGCAAAGATGTATGTCCATATGGTACATGTTTGTATTTTTTTTAAAAAGGTTAGCTGTTCAGGAATAATTACTTTAATTTATATATCCCTGTGGAAAGAAAGATAGGATATAAATCAAGTAAATAAATAAAATTAAAAAATCAAGGTCAGCTGATAATTCCTAATTGGGAACTGACACTTGCAGTAATGAAATAGGATTCATTGTGGTACTATATTAAATATAATGGTAGTATTGAGATCAGAATTTGAAAATACCTTAAATTGGCTGTGGAAGGAACCTGCATCACCATCATTTTCATTTAATTATTAATAATAATAATTCAACTATGATTGGGAGTATATTGGAATTCCATTACTATTCCAATCCTTGCAATATAATAATAATCATCATCATCATACAGTTTATTGATATCACTGTACCAAGAGATGCCAGACTTGAAGAAAAAATTAAGAAATATTGTGAGCTAGCCATCGAAACTACAAGGCTATGGATGAAATACGTAACAGTTATACCCATTGTCATCGGGGCACTTGGTACCATATCCAAGAATTTTACAAAACACATCAAGAAATTGCAGCATCCTGCAATAATACCAGCACAGCAAAAAAACTGCACTACTCGGAACATCATATACTTTAAGAAGATACTTGGTTGATACCTAGGATGCTGACAGCAACCCATATCAACCATCAATACCAGTCAATGGTATTTGTAACACATTTAAATGCTCGGTTGACTGAGTTTCATATTTAATTAATAGATGATGATGATAGATAGATGATAGATAGATAGATAGATAGATAGATAGATAGATAGATAGATAGATAGATAGATAGATAGATAGATAGGATGCTGGCAGTAACCTGTATCAGTGCCAGTCA